GAGAGAGAGAGAGAGAGAGAGAGAGAGAGAGAGAGAGAGAGAGAGAGAGAGAGAGAGAGAGGGGAGAGAGTGGCTGCCGGCGGATTAAACTGGTTTTTGGAAAAAAAACTTTGAGAATTTCAAAAATTTCTACTGAATTTAGGAGCCGGTACGATGTACCCTCGCTTGCGGTAGCGTGGGCGTAGCGGATAGGCAAGATGTCTACGGAGGGAGCAAGTTAACATGAAATTGCGTACTTTGCATGTAGACGCGAGTCGAGCAGATGAATTTACATGTGTATGGTAAATCAGAAACGTCCAAGCTATTAAGTCGCGCACGCTTATCAAGCGGGGGATAACGAAATTTCCACGGCCATTGTCCCGACTAAAGAACGCTATTTATTGCCTTTTTATGGCCGTGAAAAACTTACAAATAGACAATATCTGCGCTCCTATGCTTAATAATCTACATACAATGTCCGATAAGTAAGAAGTGCCCGCGGGGAGTCGGGCGACGAGGCAGCGGCAAATGACTGGCCTTTGTGCCGCGACCACAAAACCTCGGCCCTTTTCACAACTGGCCGAATGGCCGCGGAGTCCCGCTCCCGCCGCCACCCATGCACGCCGGCGTATTAATATTTGCATTCGTGTGATAACACTCGGAAATTTGTTGCTCCGCGTCTTCGTCGCCGTCGCCGACGTCGTGTGCTGCCGCTGCTGCCGTTTCCGTGACTCACGGCCCCCCGCGGGGTCGCCTTACGTTGCAGCGCCCTCAGCGGGAAGCTAGTGAACTGCTCTCTTTCTCTCTCTCTCTCTCTCTCTCTCTCTCTCTCTCTCTCTCTCTATATATATATATATATATATATATATATATAGAGAGAGAGAGAGAGAGAGAGAAAGAGATAGAGAGACAGCTAGATACTGCGATCTAAGATGGCTGCCGGAGGCGCCGCCGCCATGACGACGGCGGGTCGCGATGGTGAATTAATAGCGATTAATGAGGAAGCCGAGGCAGGTTCATTAGCGATGGGTTTGCGCGGGATAGTTACTCACTCTGCGTCTCTCTCGCTCTCTCTGGTTCTCTCTCTCTAGCTCTCTCGTTCTCCCTCTTTCTCTCTCTTTCATTCTTTCTGTATTTCTCTTTCATTTACTCGCTCTCTTTCTCTCTCTTTCCGTCTTTCTCTATTTCTCTTTTATTTGCTCGCTCTCTTTCTTCTGGACTCTTTTTCTTTCTGTCTCTTTATCTCTCTATCGCTCTTCCAGTCTTTCCCTAGCTCTCGCCCTCTCTCTCTCTCTCTCTCTCTTTCTCTTTCTCTCTTTCGCTATCTTTCTCTCTTTCACACTTCATTTGCCTATCTGTTAATCTATCTGATATCTTACTGTATTTCTCGTTGCCCTTCCCCCCTCTTTCTATCTTTCTCCCTCCCAGTCTAACTCGATTCTGCTTTCCTTGCCTACCAATCTCCTCTTCCCATCCCCGCATCCCCGCATTCCTTCCCCTCCCGCGTCCCCACCCATCTTCCTAACCTTACCCCACGCCCGCACTCACCCGCACCCGCACACGCGCTGGCACGTAAACATCTGTGATGCCGCCCGCCCCGCGATGGTCCCGCGTCCACGCGCGGGAGGGTGCCTGTACGCAGCACCGACCACTGCTGCGACCGCGTCGACAGTCGCTGCCGATTCAGATGCGTAATGAGCCCTGACAGGAAAGCAGATTTCCATAAAGCACAAACAATCGGCTGTCATTAATTGTTATTCATCACCCGCTAATGCAAGCGCTCCCGCGAGCAGGCCTTCCCACTTGGCCTCATAAGTATGCAGGCTTGTGCAATTATACATACTAGTCGAGAGAGAGAGAGAGAGAGAAAGAGAGAGAGAGAATGAATTACATGACAAAATATATGACATATATATATATATATATATATATATATA